AGCTTTAACTTGACGTTGTGTTAACACCAGGGGGCACAGCACATAGTGGAAAAAAAAACTTGAGCCTAAACATCCTCACTACCGGCCAAAACTAACATGGCCATCCTTTTAATGAAGACAAATGAAGTGTTTAATTGTGCAAGCCCATTGCCCTTTCCACCTGGCGGTGCATGGAAAACACAGCTGCCAAGGCAGCGTGCAGCTGAGCGATGGGCCTCTTGCTCTACGAGCTTCCTCGGCCACTGAATGCTCCCCCTGCTTGCCACCCCAACTAGTCCTTAGCCCCAACCTCAATTACTTCGAACCCTGACACCCTGCCAAAAGTCAGAACCATCTCAGCATTTATTCACTCTGAAAGTTTTTTAAAAGTAAGAAAAAAAATGCCCCTGACTGTTACTGCCTGAGGTGCAATTGAGCATGTAAAAACATTAAAGCCCGAATTACTTGGCATGTGATGAAGTGAGAGAGGCAGAGGGCAGAGAGGGAGAGATGTCTAATAAAACATCCAACAGAAAAGATGAGAAGGGAGAAAAGGTGAGAAAATAAAACAACAGCACAAAAGGACATAACCACCATTCCATGAAACGTGTGAAGACAGGCAAAGTGGAAGTGTCTTCATACTGGGCCTCAAGTCATTGCTGTAAAGTGGGGTTCTAATGACTGTCATTACCAAACACTTAACTGTCACAACCAATAATATCCTGGCCATTAGTGGTGTGGATAACAGAAAATGTGACCAATAGCAGCAATCAGTGCATCCTGACCCTGGACAAGCATAAGGTGGTTTACAGAGCAAAGGAACTGCTTCCAAGTACTGTGTTTACTTTAAAGCTGCACTGATTAATATTTCTTATATTAACAACTGGTCAAATGATTATGTGCAATGTGGAAGAGTTTGCTTAATGATAAATCCAGAAAAGAACTGTCAGCCCAGTCTGCAATTTGTCTCAGCTATACACAGTTTTTTAAAGCCTTTTTTAGCTTTTTGTTGTGGGCTTTATAACAGTGAACGTTAGCAATTAGCAAGATATTTCTCTCAGGAGTTGGACCAAACTAGCACTAAAAGATGACTAAGTAATGCACTTTGTCAGGTGACCAGAGAGTCCAAATAAAAGTTTTCATGTAAAGAAATTTTTACATCTTGTGTGTTTAAAGCAAAAAGCACACATGTAACAGCTTCCATGCAGTTACTGAGGTCAGTGCCTGGATGGGAAACTTCAGTTTCACACAATACAAGTAGAAACTGACACATGTATACACACACACACACACTCATCCAGTAAATGAAGGATCACCTTTCAGTAACCCACTTTAAAGTTGTGTGTTGACAGGATGATCATATTTGCTGTCTAGACTGCAGCCAGCTGAGGAGAAAACCGTGTGCTGAGTCGCTCTATCACTTTTTCTGTTTTCCAAAGGCTGTTTCTTTCTCCTCTATCCCAACTCTCAATTTCACATTCTGACAATGATTAGAAGTTTCAGAACACTTGTTCTCTGTCCTTCTTTCTTTTCCTCTTTCTCTGTCAATCTCCTTGAGGTTGAGTAGAAGCTACCACCTGTGCATCGCCTTTGGAACAGAAACCTCTCCAGAGATTGGGTTTCAATCTCCACTTTAACCTTTAAAAGTTTCAGTTTTACAGTGATAAATAGTCACAGATTAGTTATCTCCCTGCAGTTAAACAAATCTGACAATATAACAAAACTTAACAGAGTTTATCACCATTGTGAAACATATGTTGCAGGTTCTTTTCAGTTTCTGCACAGGATCAAACTAACATGCTGGAAAAATTCATTCATGGTTAAACAATGACTGGGCATAGTCGTTGTGAGATTTATGACTGGCTTTTCTGTTTATCTTCACAGTCTTACTCTTTCAGTCATGTTACAGGGGAAAATAAAGACTTTCTCAGACTCTGCAGCCAACATTTCAGCCACCAGACCCCCCGCACACTTTGATTCAGGAGCTTCTCAACCTAATAAACTTACTTAATATTTGTTTATGAGTGCTGAGATTGAGGCTTGACGTTGAGGCTCTACAGTATATGTTTGCCATCACATAATAAATATGGGTTAATTTACAAAGGTATGTTAGGTCTTAGCTGTTTAAGAAAGCTCTATTCCATCGAAGTAGCTCTTGCTGAGGCTGCCAGGAAAAACACTTCCTTCAGAGAGAACAATTCATCTATGGCCCTCTTGAGGGATAGGGTAAAGGGTGCTGGGCAGGTCAGTCTTATTGCCCACCAACCGACCCTGGCACATACTCATGAAAGTTAAACAAGAGAAAGCGAATACACTTTGGAGTCTGAGATCCGCCTCCTGGGTTGCTTGCTAATTAAGCTGCGTTTGTCTTGGCTTGGAATCAAACTTAATATTGAACCAAGATCCAACATAGTACAGCACTACAAGCGTACAGAGACCCAGATCAACTGAGTGCTGAAAGGAATCACAAGTGTGGCTCCTGGGAGTCTGCAGACTCCCCATCTAAAAACGTGTTAGCATCATGCATATAGCAAAGGGTGGCCATTCCATGTAAGAAACCACATTTTAACCTGTCCTGTAATTCAGATCACTGTGAGTAAACCTTACAGGTGGTTGCATCCACTTTCACTATTAATATTTATGCTCCAACCTTAAACATCCTGTAAAAGTCATCTCACTTTCAGTCTCCTTCATCTTTTCTTTATTGTCATGGCTTCAGATTTATAGGTCTAAGTGCAGCTTTCCTCAGAGGTGCACATTGCAGAGAACACTGGCCAAGGGAGAAGTGATTACAACAATTTTAAGGTTAAAATAAAATGTAATTCTTCTTTAAAGCTAGCCAAAAAACGATGTTTTAAAGGAATAATTATACATTTCTGTAAATATGCTTATTCATTTTCTGTGAGTTAGATGACAAGAATGATACCACACTCATGCTGTGAAATAAGTGTGAAGGTAGAGCCAGGAGGCAATTAGCTTAGCTTAGCATAAAGACTGGAAGCAGGGCAGACAGCCAGCTTGGCCCTCTCCAAAGTTTCAACACCTCTAGAGCTCATTGATTAAAGAATTTCAAGATTTTAGGAAATGCGCTTATTAATTTGTATCTGGTGGAGTTTGATGAGAACTATATAAATGTATTAAATAGAAGGATACAACCAGCAGCTGGTTAGCTTAGTTTAGCACAAGGACTACAGGGGAAACGGTTGACCTGTCTCTTTGAAAATCTGTGTACTTGCACCTCTAAAGCTCACTAATCAACATGTTCTATCTCATACAAAAATCAGACTAAATTTTAGATTGAGTAAGTTTTATAAGTCTGTGTGTACAGGTTGAACAAATTAAAGTGATTTTGACAGATTTTTGGACAGAGGCTTGCTGTTTCACCCTGCTTCCAGTCTTTATGCTAGGTTAAGCACTTCTGGCTCTAGCTTCATATTTAGCATACAGGCGAGAGGCGTACACAGGCGTATCGCTCTTCTCGTCCAACTCTTGGAAAGCCAGCAAATAAGTGAATTTCTCAAAATGTTGATCACTACCAAGGGACCTTATTTGCACCTGTGTGCTGATGGAAAAAACAACCAAATTCATTCTAATGAAACCCATAAAGAGCAACTGAGAAAGAGATGGCGTGAATACAGGATGTGGGAGTCAATACAGTTTGTGTGATGTTTGGTTTTGAAAATCACTCGCTGATGCAAATTCAACTATTTGCTTGAGGTCAGTGCATCATAAATCACACTGCTGTTTGGTTACAATATGAAATCCAAATGCTGTAAAGATAGCCGTTTGTGGTTTCTAACTATAGTACTGTAAGCATGTACCACTACGTTTACATTCTTGACTTCTAACAGGGTTTTTAAATGGGTTTTCCATTAAGTGTGCCTTTGGGATATAAAAGAGCATGTAAAACACAAAGGCAGACCAAAATACTGTCAAATATATATCACTTTAAGGTACTAGGCAGGCCAAAGTTTACATGAATATTACACATAATAATAAAGAGTTTCTCTGAAAGACAGCATGTCCAGAATGATCTGATCCCCTCTTAAAAGTGAAACTGACCTCTGCCCGCCACTGATCTGTAAGGCTATCCTGCACATGTGAATGTTCAAATAAGCCCTCGTGATCCTGCTTTAAAGTGTGATGGTGAGTTCAAGCAGATCATCTGTTTCAAAAGAAATGTCACTATATTTGATCAGTGTTCAAAGGCCTGCTGAATATTCTATATATTAAGGTCAAAGACTCATTTAGTCAAGCATGGAAGCTTGTGAAAGGTACGTAGGGAGGACTTTTCACCTTTCACCTGATGGAGGAGGTCATATATGGGTAAAGCAGAAAGAACAGAGTACAGTCAGGTCAATTACACAATGTCCTCACAGCAAATTCACCTCAACATCACATTCCTGTTCGTGATAACGTAATACCGTTCGAAAACCTTTTATCAATTGTCACAGATTCTGTCTCAAATTGCGCCAGGACCAATCGCATCACAAAGGAATGATGAGATAGGCGAGCTGGACGTTGAATTCTGTGACAACAGCAGCTCAAGCCTCCCTCCCACCCAATTAGATAAACCATCTGGGTGAGAGATCGGCTTAAGAAAAATGCTATGGCCAGGACTCATGTCTCATCAAAGGTGATGACAGAGTGGGAGTAATGCGATGCAAAAAAGCCACCCCACCCTTGAACGTGTGTGTGAACGGGTGTTAAGTGCGTGCGTTTGCATGTGCTGCCCTGTTTCACATCAAGCTACGCCAGCCCGCCCTCCACTCCCAATGTCCCACAATCATCATTCATTTGTATTCATTACTGAGGTGCAATATGGCTGATTTTTCACTCCTCTGGTGTGTGTGTGTGTGCGTGTGTGTGTGTTACGTCAACACACTGCAATGGATTTATTGGCTGATATAGTTTCATCTGACATTCCAATTTCTTTCTTATCTCAGTTGTGAAGTTTAAAATTAAAAAGCACACAGGTGGAGTTGACCAATAAGTGCAGTGATTTCTGATCCGGCACTTACAGGGTCTTCTGGTTTTTGGCTGACATCATGGAGCGGCTCTTCTGGAAGGTGGTCTCGTCGAATCAGAGTGAATTCCCTGATGAACACTGCGTCTCCATCGTTGGCCAATACAGCAACCTGAAACACAAAGATCCTGTCAGATTTGTTCTGTAGGTCATTACAAAACCTTTTGACTACAAACATACACAAAAGAACACAGAATTCTAGGAGAAAGATCGAGGAGGCAGTGTGATGCAGCCAGAGGAGGCTTTCGACCTGCTGTCAAAACAACACACTTTTGCCTTTAGTTAAGACTTCAACACTTCAAGCAAGGAAGAGGAGGAGCGATGATTGAAATCATGTTGTTATATACTTACTGTACATTGTTTTACATGTGTTTCAAGTACTCAGGGAGGAATTCTTTCACATTACATCTACATTTGACCACGCCAGGCTGAATTATACTGCTAGGCTTTGAAAAATCAGCTGAATATATGAAAATTCTCCTCTAAACTGGGAATTAAAATACGGACTGATTAAATTAGAAACAATTACACAGAGCTGAAGTGGCAACTTGGGGTTTTTAAATATACAAAACAATTTTTATTCCTTATTATTGAATTATGAATTGTATGAAATGTGTGGGGTTAAATAAAAAAGAAAACTGAACCACACTAAACTCGAGCCCAGTGATGCAACAAGCTCTTTGTTATTCATACCATAGTTTTTCCAACGAACTTTGCTATTTCACCACTCTACTCCGGAGCAATGGTGACAGTGGGAAACGTAAGTAAAATGTAGTGAAACGTCTGTTTCTGTTTGCAATCACTGAACTGAACATTTTTTTCTTTTGGTTTGTGCTCTCAACCGCACATCCCTCTTGATGAGGGGAATCTCTGAAGGAATTCACAGCAGAAGAGATCTGATATCGGAAAACGTAGTAACCCACCTCTTCGAGGGAGACGGGTGAGGGGGGTGAGGGGCATCTTGGATAGGGCCCATTAGCAGCACAGCAGGACCCGCATTCTCCAGGATGCACAAATTCACAGAGCGGGGGCCCTCAGCTCAGCTGCTCTCCGTGGGTCATAAACACCCTGTAATGACCCGGGTCAACTGCCTGCCTCCCGGGCCTGTGCCAAGGCAGAGCGATGCTGAGAAGGGGATGTGGGATTGGGGTACTTGAGGTTTATCACATTGTAGGGGGTTGCAGATTTTTTGTCGTGGGGCTGGGAAAAAAAGTGCTGCTTAGCAACTGCAGCAAAACTTACACCAGCTTTGTGTGGGAAAGACAGAGTGGACTCTTAAATAAGACAAATCAAATCTGGTCTAAAGCCCTACACTCAGCACTGCTTAACTGCAGTCACTTAGACTGTGGAGGCATCTGCAACAATACATAAGTCACTGCAGTAAAATGTGGGCAAAAGCCTCCTCGGGTGACCAAGATCATAATGTACGAGCACATTTTTGGTGGGTATGGATCTACGCATGTGGCAGCTGTTGGGCCACAAAATAACAATTAGGTTTATCCGTTTCTTCAACAATGAATAAAAGATAAAAATGTTTATAATTAGCTACCTGTAAAGTGGCTGTGTGTAGGGGTCTGCAAATCTGGAATTTATGAATGAGCGTGAAAACTCATCTTATACCTGTGAGAAACTGGTATGATACATAGCTTGAAATTCAATATAACGCAGGTTTCTCAGATTTACTTGACAGTTTAAAGTCTTCTAAACTATAGACCCCAGAGACCCTAATGCATTTAGCATGGGAAACCAAATAACTGATATGAAACACCTTTATCAAAATACAGCCTAGTATTGGATGACAGCATATAACATGAGATTTCTGCTGACACCGCTAATGTTGCACTGAAGCATGTCCTCCCTGCCACTGATGCTGAAAATTAAAATGTTGCACAACTACAAGCCAGGGGTAAAGCAAACATAAGTCAAGCATACGAATCTTATGTAAAGCTCTG